GGGGTTGTTAACCAATGTCATAAAACAATATGTGTACTACTGTTTCATGAGAAACTATTTGTTCTGTAAGGCTTCACCTGAAGTACAATAAAAAAAAAAAAAAAGGACAAAAAAAAAAAACCCTATGAAGCACAGTTCTACTCTGACACACATGGGATCATCATCAGTTCTACTCTGTCCTATAGGGTCGCTATGAGTCTAAATCGACTCGACAGCAGTGGGTATGGGACTTGTGGATTCATTTTTGAATCACCTTTTATCCTATCTTGCATGCTTATGCAACCCTCTGTCTTGCTCTCTCTTGCTTATGTATTCTCTCTCTCATGTATTCTCTTATGCATAAAATGGTCAATTAATTTAGCAAGATCATGTGGAATCAAAAATTAACAGTAACAGCAGAGGGAGTATGGAGAAGAAAAGTCATGTCATCATCTGTATAGCTAAGAGACTACCCATGGGAAAAATAAGATTTGAGCTGAGTTTTCTAGGATAAACAGAATTGAGGAAGAGTTGGAGCAAAGGGAGGGCATTCAAAACATGGGCAGAGTACATAAAAAGGTTTAGAGTCAGGAACAGCCTATACGAAGAATGGCCCTTTTGAAATAGGAAACGGGATTTGTGGAAGAGAAACATGGTGTTATGGATTGAATTTAAAAAAAAAAAAAAAAAAAAACCATTGCCATAGAGTCGATTCCAACTCATAGCGATCCTATAGGACAGAGTAGAACTGCCCCGTAAGGTTTCCAAGGAGCAGCTTGTGAATTTAAACTGCCAACTTTTGGTTAACAGCGGTAGCTCTTAACCACTGCACTACCAGGGCTCTGTGGATTGAATTATTCCTCCCAAAATATGTGTTGTAAATCCTAACCTCTATGCCTGTGGTTATTATCCTATTTGGGAATGGACTGTCTTTGTTACGTTAATGAGGTAGAATTAGTGTAGGGTGTACCTTGAGTCAATCTCTTTTGAGATATGAAAGAAATTAAACTAGCAAGCTAGGAAGCAAAGATGGGGTAAGACAGATGCCAAGACACATGGAGATCTCCAAGGAACGAGGAAGAAGAAGTTGAAGAGACAAGGACCTTCCTCCAGAGCCAACAGAGAGAGAAAACTTTCCCCTAGAGCCAGCACTCTGAATTCGGACTTCTAGCCTCTTGAACTGTGACACAATAAGTTTCCATTTGTTAAAGCCATCCACTTGTAGTATTTTTGTTATAGCAGCACTAGATAAATAAGACAGATGGGGAGCGGGCATCGTCTTAAATGTCATGAGGGAGAGTTTGGTTTTTCCTGGAGAGAGGACACAGGTGTTAGTGCAGAAATAAAAAAAAAAAAAACCTGGGCGGAAAAAAAAACAGTGCTTTATGGAAAGTAATCAAGCAATGGTATGGCAGGAGGTGGCAGGAGGATTCTGGAAAGGGTATCAGGTGAAGAAGTTAAGTTCAATTGGGCACATAATGGCCTGACCTGACTGTTGGTGGTAGAGATGGAAGGGAAGGCAGGAAAGTGCAAAGGACAATGCGGTTATCAATTAATTGGATATGAAGAATGAAGGAAGAGAGGAGATTCAAGATGACACCAAGAGACCAACAGAGAGGGAAGTGGAAGAACAAAGATAAGGGGGCAGAGATGCAGCTAATCCTGATGTCTCTGTCCTACTCATATATATATTCCCAGGTCCAGTATAAAGTCATGAATGTAAAGTAAGGACTGCCTGTCTTCTGGCTGGATCCATCCTATAGTAGAAGTTAGGGCAGGGCTTTCAAATGTCTATAGGAATCACCTGGGGATCTTGTTACAATGCAGATTCTGATTCAGTAGGTTTAGGGCAGAGCCTGAGATTCTGCCTTTCAAATCAGCTCCTAGGTGGTTGTCTTAGTTATCTAGTGCTGCTATAACAGAAACACCACAAGTGGATGGCTTTAACAAAGAGAAATTTATTTTCTCACAGTCTAGTAGGCTACAAGTCCAAATTCAGGGCATCAGCTCCAGGGGAAGGCTTTCTCTCTCTGTCAGCTCTGGAGGAAGGTCTTTGTCATCAGTTTTCTCCTGGTCTAGGAGCTTCTCTGCACAGGAACCCCAGGTCCAAAGGATAAGCTCTGCTCCCAGCACTGCTTTCTTGGTGGTATGAGGTCCCCACTGTCTCTCTGCTCTCCTCTCTCTTTTATACCTCAAAAGAGATTGGCTTAAGACACTACACCTTGCTTTGCAAAACATTTCAAAACCTGAATATAATCATGAGGAAAGAGGCAGAAATACAAATTTTGAGGGACATTCTCCAAAACAATTTGTACTCTTCAAAAATGTTGAGTAAGAACACAAAAAGAAACAATCTTTGTTGGTTACAAGGGATGGGAGGGGTGGGGGGAAATACTAAACAGACAATAGATTAGTGGTAATTTTGGTGAAGGGTAAGACAGTACACAATACTGGGGAAGCCACTAGAACTTGTACAAGGAAAGGTCATGGAAGCTCCATAGACACATCCAAACTCCATGAGGGACTGAACTGCTGGGTGGAGCGCTGTGGGGACCATGGACTCAGGGAACATCTAGCTCAATTGCCATAACACAATTTATAAAGACAATGTTCTACATTCTACCTTGGTGGTAGCGTCTGGGGTCTTAAAAGCCTGTGAGCAGCCATCTAAGATACTCCACTGGTCTCA